CAGAAAATCTGAACTAATGAGTACTTAACATCCATGTTTTCTCCATTCCCTGGAGACAAAAAGCAGTTTTCAGCTTCTCTAATCTCTCCTAGCAAGAAAGCTAGATAAACTTACATAAATATGTCTTTCAAGGCAACTCAAGTCTTCCTAAAGGTAAAGACCCTGTCAACTGGCCTACAGGAGCCTGTTGAACTCAAGATGGCCTTTAGCTCCCACACTGATACTACTACTGGGTCATAAGTTCAAAAGCTCTCTTATTGTTCGGGCTCAAGAAAGGAGGTCACTCCGCCTTCCCTGACCTCTCATGGCATGAAGCAGAGATTACTTATCCTGGTTTTAAGACCACCAAACTCTAGCGGCCACAAAACTCCTTTTCCTCCCAGCCTACCTCCTCTCCACCCCACACTGCAGTGTCCACCCCAACCCCTACAGTGAATAGTTACAGCACGAAGGCTCTGTCTTGACCAGAGCAGCAACTCTCAGATGGGGTGTTTGTGTCTGAGAACCTAATTTACTCATTATTTCCCTGGTCAGCCATATGTGTTCCACAGCCAAGTGGCCACATTGGCCACTCCTGTCTCCAGTCCTAAAATCCCACAGTTGTAGGGAAGCTTTGGAGACCCTCCAAGAGCAAATAGTGATAGCAGTGAGGGGCTACTCTCCCTGCGGGTCCCCCCCCAGCCCCCTCCCCTCCCAGTGGACCCCAGTGCAAGGGCCTCTCTCCTTGCCTTGGCCCCCTGACCTGTGCACACTGCTCCCTGCCCTGGGCATATGACACTTGGCTAGCCATTATCCTTTTGTCCTGCCAGCACTTGTAAAGCTTTTGTTATTATTTAGAGAAGAGCAGGAGATTTAAGAGTTTTGTAAAGTGAAGAGATTGAATTATGTCATAGGCTACATGTGTTCCTCCTAGCTATAGCACTGAGGTTCGTAACACTGGGAGTCCATGCCTGAGAATCCCATATGTGCAAATGGCAAATGCTTTGTGGGATTCTTGAGGGTCAGGGTAGCAGGGGATGGGGGGGAGGAAGTGAGGGGAGCTTGGAAGGATCGGCCCAAGGTACCAGATTATCTCTTGTGGACTTTTTCAAGATGTGATTCCAAAGGGCTAGGCTGGGCCTAACTCTGTGAGAGGCCTGATAAACAGTACATATAATAAGAAAACTCATCTATATTCATGTTGATTTTAAAACTTCTTTTTTAAAAATCAGATTTTTAAAATACTGAACATTGAAATTATTGGCCTAGAAAATGTAGTTTTTATGTGAGTCTTAAAATATAAGTCACAGTGGGGCCTTTTTTTCTGTATTTGTGATGTCTGCTGGGTCTGTCCCATGGTGATGGTAATAAAATGTACCATTGACAGAGCTGTGCTGGGCCAGGCACTTTCCATATATTGCCTCATTTGACTTAGTCTTCTCTTCTACCCTGCAAGGTGAACATGACTCCCATTTTTTTTTTGTGAGAAAGATCGGCCCTGAGCTAACATCTGCCAATTCTCCTCTTTTTGCTGAAGAAGACTGGCCCTGAGCTAACATCCATGCCCATCTTCCTCCACTTTATATGGGACGCTGCCACAGCATGGCTTGACAAGCAGTGCGTCGGTGCATACCCAGGATCCGAACTGGCGAACCCCGGGCCGCCGCAGCGGAGCACGCGAACTTAACCGCTTGCGCCACCGGGCCAGCCCCATGACTCCCGTTTTACAGTGTAGTAAACCAAAGCCCAGAGCAGTTTAGAAATTTACCAGGTCATTCAGCAATGAAGTAAGAGAACCAGTATTTGAACACAGAAATGTCTGGCTCCAAAGCTCGAGTTCAGCACCAATAAATGGCCCTTCCTGGGAGTCAGCTGTCCTGAGGCTCATCCATCATGTGCGACATCACTCATTTGTATAGTTTTCTCATTTTTTGTTGCAAGATTTATTGCCTATGGTTACCATGCTTTCTGCTGCAAAGTGGCCAGAGGAGTTCCCCTCCTGAGCCTCTGTGAACAGAATCCAAGTCCATCAGAGGAAGCTGCACCCTACATTGGGCCACCAGAAATTATGTGTCCCAACCATTGCTCCATCTGAAAACACTCAGAAAACTTTCAGGGGACCCAGGGAATAAACACCAGGGTTATTGGAGATGCATCTACCCACAGAAGACACAATATTGACCTAGTTGCCTGGAGAATGGACATCCAGGCTTGGAGGCTGCCCCTCCAACTGGAAGTGCCTGTGGAGTGTGAGAGTGGAGCCAGAATGGTCTTGGGGGAGAAACCTAACTGCACACATTGTTCAAGATGGTCTCCAACCAGAAGAGTAAGCACACAACATAGTCCAGTCCAATATACCAGGCGTGGCCCTGCCTGTCCGTCCCCCTCTGTTTGGCGATCATTGCCTTTCCCTGACCACCAGGCCTTTGCGCACAACGGCCCCCATCTCACATTCAGTGGTTAGAGCAGAGTGAGCAGGAGTGGGAACCATAGTAGGCAAAGAGATCAAAAAGAAAATTTTGGAGGGGCGCACAGACCATATATGGCCTGTGGGTAAGCCACTGTAAGGATTTTTATTCAGGGCTGGCCCCGTGGCTTAGCGGTTAAGTGCGTGCGCTCCGCTACTGGCGGCCCGGGTTCGGATCCCGGGCGCGCTCCGACGCACTGCTTCTCCGGCCATGCTGAGGCCACGTCCCACATACAGCAACTAGAAGGATGTGCAACTGTGACATACAACTATCTACTGGGGCTTTGGGGGAAAAAAAAAAGGAGGAGGATTGGCAATAGATGTTAGTTCAGAGCCGGTCTTCCTCAGCAAAAAGAGGAGGATTAGCATGGATGTTAGCTCAGGGCTGATCTTCCTCACAAAAAAAAAAAAAAAAGATTTTTATTCAGAATGAGATGAGAATCCATCAGAGGGTTTTATGCAGAGCAGAGATATGATCTGATCCATCTTAAATTTCAACAGAATTACCCAGGCTGCTGTGTTGAGACTGAGGGAGACCATTTAAGTTACTGTTGCAATAATCCAGGCAAAAAAGAGTGGTGGCTTGGATGAGGAAGGTGGCAGTGGTGGTAGTGAAAACTTTGTTAGATTCTGGATATAGTTTGAAGGCTAAGCCAACAGGATTTACTGATTATTGAAAGTGGGATGTGAGACTTGACTCCAGTGATTTTGACTTGAGAAACTGGGAGGATTTGCCCTTGACTGAGATGGGGAAGATCTGGGGAGAGGAGTGTCAAGAGCTCAGTTTTGGATTCCACCCCCAAACTGACCCCTCCACCTTGAATGTCTTTGTGAGTGATACTACCAACCATTTATCCAATTTCCCACATTGCTTTAGGCTCGGTGTAACTCCTCCAGCCCGTTTCCTAGTGTGCACTCAGGACTTCAGGAATTCCAACTCTTAGCCCTTTCCTACCTCAGTGCCTTTGCATATGCAGTTCCCTCTGTCTGGATGCCCTTTCCCCTTTATGTTCCCTGGAACGTCTGCTCCCTTTAAGATAACGCCAGTGTCACTCCCCTGTGAAGCCTTCCCTGATCCTGCCATCTGCAGGGGAATTGCTCTGTATTCTCTCCAGACCTTGAGCTTGTTCCTTCAAGAAGCCCATGACTTCTTTGAGGGAATTAGGGCAGTGTGGTTTGAGCCGCCATGACTTCTTTGAGGGAATTGGGGCAGTGTGGTTTGAATCGCCATGACTTCTTTGAGGGAATTGGGGCAGTGTGGTTTGAGTCGCCTACCATGGGCAGTGTCTGTACAATGAATAATGGAATAACTGGATGACTAGATACACTAGATGTGTATCTAGTCCATACTGCTTCTTGGGCTTTGTAAGTTTTCTATTGAGAGTATTAGCATAGGGCTTCCTTCTACTTGAACCACCCCAAGCTCACAGGAATACCCCAGGTGTTGGTATCTTATGGCTGCTCATACCCTCATGAGCTTTCATCTTAAAACATGGAGGAGTATTGGTCTTTTTCTTTTCCTCATAAGGAAGCTGCTCAGTCCTCTAGCTCTCTCTCTTCGGGGCTTTGTCTAGCTTTTGTTTTGCTCTCTGGGTGCCTTCTAGCTGCAGTGTACTCAGAATGGGTGTGAGGGCAGAACGGGTTGGTTTCCTCTCCAACTGGAGCCAAGCATTTTCTGACCTTTTGACTACACTAACTTGTTGGAGCAGTGTTTTCAGAGAATGATCTGTGGGAAATCTTAGAGCCCTTTCTGCCGTTACAACTGAGAGTGCAAAGCCCATTCCCTAGAATATAGATTAGATTCTCTTGCCTCAAGCTGGTGAGCTAATAAATGCATAAAGGTACATAGCCATGTCCAAGAAGCATGTCCACCTCTCCAGCCCACTTGTATTAGGCAGTATTCTCCAAAGAAACAGAACCAGAACAGAGAGAGAGGGAGATAGAGATTTATTTTAAGGAATTGGCTCACGTGATTATAGGAGCTGACATCTGAAATCTGCGGGGCAGGGCAACAGGATGGAAATTGCAACAAGAGTTGATGTTGCAGACTTGAGTCTTCCTCTTTGGGAAACCTCAGTCTTTTTTCTTAAGGCCTTGAACTGATTAGATGAGGCCTACCTACATTATGGAGGGTAATCTGCTCTACTCAGAGTCTACTGGTTTAAATGTTAATTACATCCAAAAAAATACCTTCCCAGTGATGTCTAGACTGGTGTTTGATGGGCATCATAGCCTAGCCAGTTGACACACAAAATTAACCATCAACACCACCTCTTTTTACTTCCCATTCCTGGTTTGCGCCTTCTGCCTCTACTGCTTTCATTTTCCCTTAAGAACTTACTCCTCTGCCTCCAGCCCGTACTCTTTCTCCAGTCCCAGTCACTGGATACCATTTTCATCCAGGGTGAGTCACCTTTCCTCTTGTCCCAGGCCACCATCTGGTCTCATAGGAGGCTTTCCTGAATCTGTCTGCTTTCAAGAAGTGAGTTTTTTTTTTTTTCCCCAGTATAAACCCCTTGAAACTTTCAGACTTTCTGTTGTGTTTTATTCTCAGGTATTGGGAAAAATGTGGTTTGTGAGAAGGCAGCAACCTCAGTGGATGCCTTTCGGATGGTGACAGCCTCGCGCTACTACCCACAGCTGATGAGCCTGGTGGGGAACGTCCTGCGCTTCCTGCCTGCCTTTGTGCGCATGAAGCAGCTGATTGCAGAACACTATGTGGGCGCAGTGATGATCTGCGACGCCCGCATCTACTCGGGCAGCCTGCTCAGCCCCAACTACGGCTGGATCTGCGACGAACTTATGGGCGGTGGGGGCCTGCACACCATGGGCACGTACATTGTGGACCTGCTGACCCACCTGACCGGCCGGAGAGCCGAGAAGGTGCATGGGCTGCTCAAGACCTTTGTGAGGCAGAATGCGGCCATCCGTGGCATCCGGCATGTCACCAGTGATGACTTCTGTTTCTTTCAGATGCTCATGGGTGGGGGTGTGTGCAGCACAGTAACACTCAACTTCAACATGCCAGGCGCCTTTGTGCATGAGGTCATGGTGGTGGGCTCTGCGGGGCGCCTTGTTGCCCGGGGAGCTGACCTCTATGGGCAGAAGAACTCTGCCACACAAGAGGAGCTGCTACTAAGGGACTCGCTGGCTGTGGGCACAGGGCTGCCTGAGCAGGGGCCCCAGGACGTCCCGCTGCTCTACCTGAAGGGCATGGTCTACATGGTGCAGGCCCTGCGCCAGTCCTTCCAGGGGCAGGGGGACCGCCGCACATGGGACCACACCCCCGTCTCCATGGCTGCCTCGTTTGAGGATGGGTTATACATGCAGAGTGTGGTGGATGCCATCAAAAGATCGAGCCGATCCGGGGAGTGGGAGGCTGTGGAGGTGCTGACGGAGGAACCTGACACCAACCAGAACCTGTGCGAGGCACTCCAGCGGAATAACCTGTGAGCCTGCACATGGGCTCCCTGCCATGGGGCAAAGGGGCCAGGGAGAGACCGGGAGCCGTGACGAGAGGGCTTGGCTACAGCACAGAGAGTGTCTTTCATTTAGTGAGTCAACTTGGGCAGGGTTCAAATGAAGCCGAAGGTAGCCCCGGAGAAATGCCCCCTCCAGCACTCATTTACTCCTCAGACTTGCAGGGCGGTGACCTTCCTGTTTCCGTGGCTGAGAAGGCTAGCACAACATGCACGGGGTGGAGCTGCCACCAGGTCTCTGCATAGTTAGGCTGGGGAGCAGGGCCTTAGCCAAAGCTTGACTTGGAGACTTCTTCAACCTATTTGTGGTCCTAACTGGATGAGAAAGCATAGCAAGGAGCCAGCTTGGCTGATTCCTCAGGCCTGAGGAGAAATGACAAGAAGCCTTGTTTCCGTGCCCTTCCTGGGCTAGGGCATCTCAGGAATGGTCAGGGCAGCAAGTCATCCCTCAGGGATCTGCATCTGCCCTCTCTCCCATGCAGCCAGGCCCTTCCTGCCTCCAGGCTGCCCCCTTTCCTGGCAGGGAGGAGTTCTTCATTAGGTGAGCTCTCAGGGGCTGTTAACCGAGGGCACAGGGCCCCTGATTTGGCAGAGAGGAGACAAGGGAGAGCTCTGGAACATCTGATAAATGTTAATAAATCAGAAAGTCTGACACTATGACATGTGGTTGTTGGTTGTTTGATAGGTTGGGTTTCTTTAATAATGGAAGGCTTGTTTATTGTTGTAGATTTTTTATATTTTTCTCTTTCCTTGTGGCTCCACAGCAGCTTTGACCTGCTCTGGGTCCATCACTGTCTAGTGGACTACACAGAACCCTCGTGGCCAAATCCCAAGAGCCCTCCAAGCAAAAGTCTTTGCTCAGAGAACAGGACTTAAGACTTCCCGATGGGGGCCCACTGGGCCTGCCATTTCAGGGAGATAGTGGGAGAGTTTGGGGCCTCCTTGAGCTGGTTTTGTTCTTGAAACCATGGAGTTGGCTCCAGGGGACCCCTGGGAGAGGGGAGGTGTGAGGAATGGTTCTAGGGAGGCTGGCTGGGATGAACTTGAGGAGGAAGACTCCACACACTGCCCCTTGGAGTGGGTATGGCCCAGCCAGCCAGTCACCAGCTGTGCTTTTATTGTGTTCTACACAGGGAAATCCTTTTAGAGGTGGGGTGGGGTAGTGGGAAAGGACACATCCACTCCTTTGTTTCTTCTGCCAGCTGTAAGGATAAAGCCTGGACCAAACTCTTTTTCCCTTCTCTAAACTTCCCTCTCTCTGCCCTCCCCTGGGCTCCTTGCCGGAAAAATAAAGGCCCAGGGAAGGCTCCCTCTTCCTTTTGGCCCCCCTTATAGAAGTCACCAGGCCTGTCTTCCTATATTGTTCTGGTTTCAGACCTTGTCCTTGTGAGAGAAAATAACAATGGCTAGTGTTGGAGTGTGCTTATTGCATGCAAGCCCCTCAGGGTAGGCACTTCATATGTATTATTTCATTTAATATCCAAACCACTCTATGAAGTACTACTATTAATATTCCCAGTATTCAGATCAGAAAACAGGCAGAGAGGGGCAAAGTTACTTGCCTCTTGTAAGTTATAAGTGATGGAGCCAGGAGCCTGGTCAGGGTCATCTGACTACAGAGCCTGACCTTGAACCACTTCCCTGGGACTTATGGCTCCTCAGACTCTGAGTGCCTAGGCATTGCCCCTCTCTGCTCAGCTCCCCATCCAGTTTACTGCCTTCTCTCTGCAATGGGAATCGCAGCCTGGCCTGAACTAGGAGGCAGACTGCAGAGAGAGCCCCACCAGGCCAGACTCTGATAGAGTTGAAGAAGGAGAAGCTGCCCCCTTCCTCCTGGGGACAATCAGCTCAGCTCTAGGTCAGTCCCTGTGTGTGTTACTAGGGTGTTTAAATCCCTACTAAGTTTGGGAATTGACCAAGAAAGCACATGCATCCATTGTGTTTGACTCAGATGCTCCTACTTAAGAAAGCGCCACGTTGCAGATCCACAGTGGCACTTTTTATGTTTTTTTAGGGCTCTGGAGCAAACCTCTTGTTTACAAAGATGCATTCCCAGAAGTCCTGGGGTAGACTGCAGTGGGCTTATGAGGACACCAAGTCCTCTGTTGGCAATCCCCAGAAGCCAGGCCCATGGCCATCCCTCAGACATCTTTACCATCATGTGTGTCTTGAGTTGGTCCCAGAGAGGAGATGTACCTTGAAGTGGCCTAGATGCCTGTAGCTAAGGAAGCCAGCAGGGTTCTGGTACCCAGGGGCGACTGAGCCCACAGCTGGTTCCAGGCTTGTCCTGCAGCGCCCCCTCCTGGAGGTAGGCAGCATCACCTCCCAGGATCTGTTTCCCAAATCTCAGGATCTTCCTTGCATCAAAAGTAAATATAAGTTTTTCTAAATCAGTGAAAATGCAGTTAGCTTTTCCTCTCTGATACAGCAGCCAGAAAAGAATTTCCAAAATACCTGTTTCTTATTTTTCAACCCCCAACCAAATCTAGGCCTCAGACAATGGCAGCAGTTTCCTCCCTGGCCCCAGTCTCTCCCTTGGTCTGCCCTTCACAGTGCTGCCTAAACGACCTCTCCAAAATGTCAGGCCAAGATCCCTCCTTGCCTACACCCCTCCTGATCACTCCAGACTCGCCCAACCTGGTCTCCTGATGGCCACGCCTCTGCTTCAGCCACGCTAACTGGCCCTCCTGCACGGGGCTGATCTCTTTCACACTAGCAAGGCTTTGTCCCTGGCATATCTTCTGCCTGGAGTCTCAACTCTCAACTCTGTCCTTCAGGAGTCAGCTGGAGGGTTGCCTCTTTACTACTTCTGCCCTAGGCAAAGTGGCAGTCACCCCCATCACTTGTGGTCCCACTGCCTTGGTCCTTGGCTCTTCCGTGGCACCCATCTCCCTGTATCGTGCTGTCTCAGCATTTCCCCCTTAGAGTGAGGTTCTAGGAGCAGTAATGGTAACTTGTTCCTTTCTGTGGCTTCTGTCAGCTACCCTGCTTAGATAAGCCTGTCAGGTAATAGGACTCAGGAAATGTAGACCAGTTCTTTCTAATATGGTTACTGTGTATTTTCTTTATCACTTGTTGAAAGATAGGGACAGAGCTTCCTTATCAGTGCTGGCCTGGCCCACACCTCCAGCCCTGGAGACCACACAGAGAAAGCAGATGCTTGGCCTTCTTGGGTCAGGCCCAGGGTCCAAGCAAGAGAGCCCCCAGGTCCACAGATCTGCAGAGCTCTGGAAAGGGCAGGGCCTCCCTGGGGCCCAGGGTGTAGTCTCATGCAAGGCCACTTCTCCAGGCCTCTGCTTCCTCAGTCATAGTGAGGAGCTCAAGCTAGTTATCTGAAGAGCCTTCTACCTCTGAAAAATCCCAGAGAATCCATGCTCATCCCTGTGGACAGTATCTCCTGGGGCAGTCAAATCACTTTCCAAGGAAAAGTGTGGGCAGAAAGAAGAAATATCCTGACTCCATGGCTTACCCTGTGGCCTTGCCATGGGGCCAGTGACCCCTAAAGGAGGGAGCATCCAAATGACCCCTAACGGAGGGAGCAGCCTGGGATAATGCCCGTTTTCTTCTTACTTCTTCCATCTGGGCCTGCCCACCCCATCCCTTCTGATGATCTTGCCAGGCCATTATTCCAGGGGCCCCATACATGGTTCTGGACTTTGGATGGCCTCAGCCTTTCAGATCCTGACCTGTCCCTCTCTGCAGCTTCCTCAGCTCCCCACCTTGGTCTCCTTATCTTGATGCCTTCTATGGGGCCCCTCTGCTAGGTGATACAATGTGGTGATGTGTGCCCTTGAGTTCAGTCTAATCCTTCAAGGTGACACCCAGGATTTTTGCTTGAACATTTGTGTAGATGAGATACAGGAGGAAAAGCAGGTTGGAGAGAGGAGAAATTATTCATTTAGTTTGGAATTCCGTGTGTTTAAAGTGTCTGAGGGACATGTAGGACAATCAGGAGGCAGCAGGATATGAGAGTTTCCAAAATGGCCAGCACTAGCTGCCTCTTCCCAGAGACCCCTGAGGTCAAAAAGCAGTAGTCATCTGGTGGCTTGGCCTCAGGGCTCCAGGGAGAACATACACCTCTACCACCACCCCCTGCCTGTCAGGAAAAAGGCACCATTGCCTCTGTCGCCAGGGGCCACTCTGGGGGCAAAGTCTGGTGCAGTTGTGGTCTGGCAATAAGTGGAAAGCATTCCAAAGCTGCCACTCTTGGAGCAGACAAGTGAACTCTGCCACTCTAGAGGGTGGATCCCAAGTGTTGGTCCCCTTGAGGTCGGACCAAATGCAGGCCCCTTCCCTGGGAGATGAAGCAAGACCAAGCACCTGCTTCCTATGATCTGACAGTCCCTTTCCTTTCTCTGCCCCAAGTTCCTCCTTGTCACCTCCCTCTCCATCCCCACTGTTCTCCTGTCTAACCTTCAGGTTCATCTGAGGAGCCTTTAAATGCACAGAACCGGGCCCCACCTGTGCAGATTCTGATTCAGTTAGATGTGGGGTAGTGCCCAGGAATCTATATTTTTGTCAAATTCCTGGGCAATCCAGATGACCAGTCAGGCTTCAAACCGTGCACTGGGGAATCCTCCACCCTTCTTCCCAGCCTCTCCCTCTTCAGGCAGCTTATTTGGGGAATCATAGTCTGAGAAAAGGAAAACGTTTATTTTCAGCAAGTCCAAGGTCCCAAGTGGGGGCAGAGGCCAAATTCCCCCTTCCACCTGAGGGCCTAGGCCCATAGGCTGCTGCTCTGGTTCAGGCTTGGGAGGAGGGGAGCCACGAGTGGGGCGGGACAGTCACTTGTACTGAGGAGAGAGTGGGGGTACAAGTGGAGCCATACAGACACTTAGCATCTTGTCAATGTCCACTTGAGTTGACTTATCCACCTCAGCCTTGAGGCAGCCGCTGACCCCCAAACTGAGCAAACCCCCAGGCTCCTCTCCAGCTTCCTTTCCCAGGGGAACCAGAGCATGGGTGGGGAACACAAACGTATTGGGGCAGGGCAAAGTAAGGCCTGAGCCCAGCTCACCTGCCACATGCAGCAAGGCCTGCAGTTGCTCCACACCTGCCTCCTCAGGGACCGGGGTCAGCTCCAACTCAGGCTCCACCTCGGCCTCCACCTCCCTGTCTCCCTCCCCTGCCTGGTTCAGCTCAGGGTTGCAATAGTTGATGTACTGGTACAGGGGCCGCAGGCGCTGGGCCTTTCCTGCAAGGACCCAGGGCAGGGCAGGGGCTAGAGTGCCAAGCCGTGCCACGTCAAGGGTCCAGCAGGCAGGGGGAAAGAGGAAGGCCCGGGGACTGCCACTCACGCTCCAGCCCCAAAGTCTCTGAGGGTGCAGACACTGTGCTGGCCACAGCTGGGAGCACTGGGGCTCCCAGACTCTTGCGTTTCTTGGCTTTTTTGTGCTGTTTGGCAGACAGTGACGACTCACTCTGGCTACTCTCTGGCTCCTCCCTCTGCAGCGGCAGCCCCTGTGGCAGCTCAGTTTCAGCCCTAGGATGGGCTTGGTGACTAGGCCCTGGGAGGCTGGGGGATAGGAGGACTGAGGAGCCAGCCTTCAGCCTTGGCTCCTATGTCCTGAGCCTAGGGAATAGCCCTGCCTGCCCACCACCCTGGGACCCGATTCTTGTCCCTTTCCTGGTCAGTGAGGCCCCGGGCTGGTCAGAGGCTGAGAGTTCATGTGAGCTCAGTCCCCTTCAAGGCCTTGAGACTACCTCTCAGGATGGTCCCTACACCAGGGTTCTTGAAGGACAGAAGGGGTGAGGAGTGATGGTGGCAGGGCATAAGGATGCACCCTGCAGGGGTGCAGGATGGATTTAGGAATCCTACTGGATTGTGAGTTGTCGTCCCCCCAGCCCCGCCTCCAGCTCTGCAGCTCCTTCCCTCTGAAAGCCCCCTCACTTGACTGGCTTCCTCTTCGGACCATGACTGAGCCTCACAATGGAGGCCATAGGCCTGGGGCCTCTCTCCTCTAGTGCCTCCACCTCTGGCTTGAGCCTCTCTTCTTCCAGCTTGAGTCGTTCCTGCTGGAGCTCTGGCTCTGACACTGATCCTGCTGGATACTTGTCTGCACCCTGGGTCCGGCAGGCCTCATGGGCTGGCACCAGGCACTGTACTCCCATCACTGGACACTAGAGGTGACACATAGGTAACTAGTTATCATGGCCAGGCAAAGGATACAGGGATCAGTCATTAGACACCTGACATCAGACATCAAATGCGGATGAAGGGCACCAGCCCATGCCCCTCCCAGCCTATGAAGCCTGTCCTGGCAGTTAGGGGGTCATCGCACAGAGTTTGGCCTCCTACAGCGCTGCGGCCAAGTGTTTGAAGGCTAGAGACACCTCACCTCAGAGCTCTGAGCGCGGCCACCTAGCGCCTCCGCGAGCTGTGCTGGCTCTACGGCCGTCCCCTCCTGGGCCCCTGGCCGCCTCTGAGCCCCTGATGAGGCCATGGCTGCGCGGGGTCAGCGCATCCTCGACGGTTGCTTGGTCGGCGGGGGGCGGGCCCCGAGGGGCCGGACTGGTGGACCCTGCGCTGACCTTGGAGATCGGCCGGGAGGCGAGAGCCAGGGTGGGAAGGGCTACTAGCGGCCGCTCTGCCCCACCCTCAGCAGGAACTACAAGCCCCAGAGGGCTTTGCGCCAGGGGCATTGGCCCCTGACCGCAGGGACGGAAACTATTGTTGCCTGGCAACAGCAAACCCGTCCGGTTGCAGCAGCGGGTGGCAAAACGGCTCGGGTGAGCCCCCTGCCCAGGTGTTGCGGGGGAGGGGCCGCGAACCGGGCAGGGAAGTGGGCTGGAAGCCGAGGCAGCGAGGGCAGGCCGGGGTCGGGAGGCAGGGCGGGGGCCGGGAGAGAATGGAGGGCACGGCCGGGATCAGGGGCCCGGTCCAGGGAGGAGGCATGGGGCTTGAGGACAGGGTTCTGGGGCCGGACATGCGCAGCCCGGCAGGCCTCGGTCCACCGTTGCAGGGCGACGACGGCGGCATGTGCGAGGGCCCGTCCCGCATCTCGGGGCCCATCCCGCCAGACCCTACGCTCTGCCCTGACTACTACCGGCGGCCGGCCTCAGGTGAGTTGGTGGGTGCCGCGGCCAGGCGAGGCTCGAGCGAGGTTCCCGCCCCGCTCCACCACTGAGCCCCGCACTCCACCCCGTCCGGCCCCTCAGCCCAAGGGCGCCTTGAGGGAAACGCGCTGAAGCTGAACCTGTTGACTTCGGACCCGGAGCAGGATGCCACCCCTCCCCGCGGCCCCCGCATGAGCCACGGAGCCCGAGAGATTCTGGAGCGTGGCCGGCGCGCCGTAGGGGCCGTGTTGCTGCAACTCGGGGATATCTCCGGAGGCCCAGGCGCCTCTCCCAAGAGTAAGTTCTGGGCAGAAGGGGCAGAGAGGCGAGTCTGAGGTCAAAAGCTGAGATCAAAAGGGGCTGCTCCTCCTTCCTGGACCTGGGCTCAGACTTTGCCTCTCGGAGTCTTAGTTTCCCCAACTATAAAAGAAGGAGAAAATGCACTACCTCTTCTCAGGAGAGGACTGAATGAGTGATTCCCTGGGAAACCCTAGCTCAGCTTCATGGATTCAAGCATCAATGAAACGTTGTTTGCTGAGTGTCTACTGTGTGCCAGGCCCTATAGGTGCTAGGAAGACAAGGTTGAAGACAAGCATGGGCCATCATCGAGTCAAGGTGGGAGACAATAAACAAGTGAAGAGATGAATATGATATACAAGATGGTTAATGGTATACGTCACAATAAAAATGTAGAAAATAATCAAGGATGGAAGAAGATTACTATATCAGGAAGGGAACAAGGTGATGAGGTGGAATATGTGTATAGGATCTAACTTAGATGGAGAGGTCAGAGAGATGTTTCTGTAGGAGGGCAGGGTGTGGGCCTGTGTGTGAACTGGTATGAGTTGGATTGCCTGGGCTGTATGTAGGGAAGATCCTGGAAACATCTTTTCCGCAGGGAAGGACCCTAAAGACCATGAGAAGGAGAACCTGAGGCGGATCAGAGAGATCCAAAGGCGCTTCCGTGAGCAGGAGTGCAGCCGGGAGCAGGGCCAGCCCAGGCCCCTGAAGGCTCTGTGGCGCTCGCCCAAATATGACAAAGTGGAGTCCCGGGTCAAGGCCCAGCTGCAGGTACCTGCCTCAGGGAGACAGAAGTATTGTCTATCTTTTTTTTTTGTGAAGAAGATCAGCCCTGAGCTAACATCTGTCGCCAATCCTCCTCTTTTTGCTGAGGAAGACTGGCCCTGGGCTAACATCCATGCCCATCTTCCTCCACTTTATATGGGATGCCGCCACAGCATGGCTTGACAAGCGGTGCATTGGTGCATGCCCGGGATCCAAACCCCGGGCTGCCGCAGCGGAGCGCACACACTTAACCGCTACGCCACCAGGCCGGCCCCGGTATTGTCTATCTTGTTGCCCAACAGGCATTTATACCCTATCTGAGTTATGGGGAGAGAGGAAAATCACAGGGGACTAATGTACCAGAGGAGTAAGAGCTAGCTGGTTCTATTTCAGGGTGGGGCTGGGGGCTTTCTCAGAAGTGATGATGGCTGGGTGAGGGGCAAGTAGGAATTAGGCAAGGGGAGAATGGAAGAGAACATTCTATAGAGCTAGAACCTCACAGATAGAAGTCCTAAGACCAGAGAGAGTGTGGCCCGTGGGGAGGCTGTGTACAATTCACTGTGAGGGGAGAAGAGCACGAGGTTAGGCTAAGTCAGCTAAACCCACATCATAAAGGGCCATATAATCCACTTCTCAACCTTTATTTCTTTTTTTTTTTTTGTGAGGAAGATCAGCCCTGAGCTAACATCCATGCCAATCCTCCTCTTTTTGCTGAGGAAGACCGGCCCCAAGCTAACATCTATTGCCAATCCTCCTCTTTTTTTTTTCCCCTTTTCTCCCCAAAGCCTCAGTAGATAGTTGTACGTCACAGTTGCACATCCCCCTAGTTGCTGTATGTGGGACACGGCCTCAGCATGGCCGGACAAGCGGTGCGTCGGTGCGCGCCTGGATCCAAACCTGGGCCGCCAGTAGCGGAGTGCGCGCACTTAACCGCTAAGACACGGGGCCGGCCCCTCAACCTTTATTTCTAAGGGCAGTGGGAAGGGCAGGGACAGGGTTATGGTGGTGGGATTCTGTCTTGGGTAGATAATGGCACCGTTTCTCTATCCAGTGGTCTCAGAAGAAGGAGCAGGATTGAGAGAAAAAACAATAAGGTCATATGTTGTTCTGTTGAAGCTGAAGCATTTGTGGGACTCCCAGGGGGTAGGAGTGTGTCCAGAAAGCAGATGGAGAGTCAGGTCTGGATCTCAGAAGTGAAATCCAAGTGTTATTGAGGATCAGGCTGAGGACAATGAGATCAAGGAAGTGACCCTGGATTTGAGGGCTTGGAGGCCAGCTATCAGTGACCTTGGTGGGGAGAGAGTCTGGAAGCTTGGCTAGGAAGGAGAGAAAAAGAGATTGGTAACTGGAGCCAGGAATGGAGGTAGAAGGAGGGGTAGTTTGTTGTTTTCTTAAAGATGTGGAAGACACATATGTTTAAATGCTGATGAGAAGTGTTCCTTCAAGAGGGAGGAGACCCATAGGGCTGGGATAGAGAAAGATCCTGAGAGGCAGAAACGACAGAGTCTTGGTCTTCTGGCTTGAGACCCTGACCTCAGCCTACATGTTCCCTCTGCTATGTCCTGCCCTCCAGAACCCCAGCCCTGCCTCTGCGACAGAGCCTGCCCACTTCCTACGGGCGCATTCCCGCTGTGGCCCTGGGCTCCCACCACCCCGTGTCCCCAGTCCCCAGCTAACCCCACCAGGTTCCAGCGCTAAGGTGAGAGGATGTGTGGGGCCTGGGAGGTGGGGCAGGGATCTTGGGGGGTTCAGGGATACAACACAGTGCTGTCTGTCCCATCATGCTTGCCATGTCCTGCAGGGGCCAGGCCTGGGTGTGGACTTCATTAGCCACAATGCCCGCACTGCCAAGAGGGCCCGCCAGCGGCATTCCCGCTCACTGCAGGTCCTGGCACAGGTGCTAGAGCAGCAACGGCAAGCCCAGGAGCACTACAACGCCACACAGAAGGGCCACGTGCCCCATTAGTAGGTCCCACTGCCCAACACCTGGGGTGAGGGGCACTTGTGGAGGGTGGGAGCCAACATCTTCCCTGGGATCATCAACCCTGAGCCTGTGCATCTGCAGCTTGTTGGAGCGCAGGAATCTGTGGCGGCAAGAGGCAGAGGCCCGCCAGCATAGCCAGCCGGACCCTGCCATGCCCCCTGGCCACACTCGCATGCCTGAGAACCAGCGGCTGGAGACACTGAACAATCTGCTCCAGAGTGAGTACATGGGCAAGGGGGGGCTGGATGGGGAGCCCACTGGGGACCATGCACCCCTGCCCTGAACTCACTGTTCCTGGGCCCCCTGTAGGCCAGCGCCAGCTGCTGCGTGAGCTGGTGTTGCTGCCTGCTGGGGCAGACTCACTGAGGGCCCAGGGCCACCGTGCAGAGCTGGACCGGAAGCTGGTGCAGGTAGAGGAGGCCATCAAGATCTTTTCCCGCCCCAAGGTCTTCGTGAAGATGGATGCTTGAGCCCTTTTATGGGAATAGTGATGGGGATCCTCACTGAGGATCACTGCATGGTTGCAAAGGGCAGGGTCGGGCCCCATCATAGAGTGGAGTCTGAAGACAGGAGCAGTGGAGTGGGCAGTATCCCCAGAGTACTCTTCCCAGCCACTGGTGGCTACAGAAGGGCCATCCCAGCCTCTTAACCCCTTTGTCAAAATTAAAACTTTTGTACACAGTGGGGTTTGTTTCCATAAGAGCTTTTCTTACCCTAGAAATGCCAAGCCTGGTGACCCTCCTGCTGCTTGACTGCAGGAAGATCTCCCTGCTGCCCTTATCATTCCTGCCTCATGTCCAGGGCAGAAATCAAGATTGTGGGATCAGGGAGGAGGCTGGGGCTGGGACACAGAAGGACCATGACTGCATTTGTAGAAAACCTTTAATGTTCCCCAGACTGAGAGGGCCCTATGAGCAAGCTAAAAACCCCCACTGGGAAAGTCCCTGCCATGTCCCAGAACCCTGGAGTGATAAGGGGCTGCATCCTTGCCTGTCAGAGGCTGAAGCCACTACCATCGCCTCGCATGCTACTCCCCCAGCCAGAGCTGGCCTGCTCCTGATCATCCAGGGAGGGCAGAGAGCTGCGGGCACCGGGAAATAGGCGGCCTGGGCGCAGGTTCCAGCATGGAGGCCCCTGAGACAGCCCATTGGAAGAGGAAGGCTGGCGGTTCTCAATGACCAGATCACTGCTGTCATCGTCACTATCGGGCTCAGCAGGCCCAGGCCCAGCAGAGGGAGGCTCTGTCAGACGCCCAGATGCCCCACGCACCACATTATTGCGCTGATTGGCTGGCTTGACAGTAACAATGAGGTTGTGGCTGTTGGCAACCATCATGTCCGTCACTTGGTCCAAAGTCTTCCCAGCCACTTCAATGCCATTCACCTCGAGGATCTCATCACTGACCGCCAGCAGCCCTGTACTCTCAGCCAGGCCCCCTCGTACCAGGCGCGAGATGAAGATGCCTGGAACCCGTTCCAGGCCCTGGGGAGCTACACGCACGCTCATGCCATCTCGGATGTAGAAACCCAGGGGGCGGTCGGAACCATGCTTGTGTAGCCGCACCCGTCGGTGGGTCTCAGGCAGTAGGTCCACATCAATGACTGAAGAAACCTGGCGGAAATCTTGGGGCAGGCTGATTAGCAGGGGTGGCCGGGTGCGCAGGGGTGCCACTGGCCGAAGTAGGAGCCCTTTCTTGCGCCGCTGCAGCGAGTTGGAGGCAAAGGCCAGGCCGCTGGAGTCAGCTTCTGCTGCAGGAGAGGGGGGCGCTGAGATCAGAGACTCTGCTCTCCCACTTGGGCCCTTTTCCATCAGGCCCAGGCCTGGGGAAAGGGGTATTGTAGCTATTTCCTACCACTTGGAGGTCAGGCCAAGGGCAAGGACTGCAGAGGGTGAAGCCTGGGTGCCCTGGGCATGGACTAACCCTTGTAGACTTGCCCTGTCACCCTACCCCACAAAGGCTGCCCACTGTACCCCATCCTCCTCACCCCGCTTCTGCACTAGCAGGCGCAGCGGCGGGGGCCCACTGGCCAGGGCCCGGTGCAGGCTGTCGTCGTTGGTGAGGGGCAGTAGGTCGCCGTGAGCATCCGTATAACCAAGCAGCACGTCCAGGCCCGGGATCTGGTGCACCGCACGCAGCAACCGCGAGAACTCTTGGAAGCCGCTCACGGAAGCGCGAGGCAGCGCGAAGCGTCGGAACTCGGCGTCAAACTGGAGGCAGGGGGTGGGGGGAGAGGAGGGGTCAGCACGGAGCCCGCGCCCTTTGTCATCACAGGTCCGTGGGTGGCAGGGGTGGGAAAGATAGGGTTGCCGCAACAGCTGCAGCCTTGCGCCCAGACCTCAGCTTCATGGTAAGGGACGCTGTCCAAGGTCTTCTCCCCGCCCTCAAGGTACCCAGGCCACAGAGGGACTCTGGAAGCCGGCAGTGGAAGGAAGGAGAATGGATGGGGGAAAGCGAGAAGAAAAGCCAGAGAATGGGACGTGGAGGATGGAGGAGAGAAAAAGATAGTGGGGACCAAGGAGCCAGGGAGGGCAGAATGAAGGAATTGGAAGCGCCTAGGGCCGAGGCCGGAGCCCGGGCCGGAGGGGCCCTTACTTTGCTCTTCACCTCGACGATGCTGTCGGGACTGCGTGCAGGAGTCCTCTGTGGCCTGGCCATGGCGGGGCCGGGCGGGCCAGGGACTGTGCCCCAGGCCGCCCGCCGAGGCGCAGGTGCACAGCCCAGCCGGCCGGCCCGCGCCGCCCCGCCCCTGGCGGTAGCGCTCGCCCCGCCCTCCCATCCGGACCATGACGTCAAGTGGGCAGCGACTGAGAGTGGAACGCGGAGTCCACGTTTCCCAGGAAACGGAGATGGGGGTGGAGACGTCGCCTTGTGCTCTTACGTCATTACGCTACGATCCGCGCATCCCCGGAGTCTGGGGGAGGGGCTCGGCCAATCCAAGGGGAGAGTGAGAGAAGTGACGTTTATTGAATGCTGTCTGTGTACTGTTATTTCTACTGGCCTTACAAGACCGCGCATCTTGTAGATGAGTCATAATATTTGCTAAGCCCCCGGGGTCACACGGCGTTGAACTGGCTTCAAGCCAACTCGCTCGGACCACCCTTGGCCGCAGCCTCAGGCTCCAGATCCTCCCCTCTCCATCCAAGCCAGCTCTTGGCCCCTTCTTGCCGTTGTCGGGAGTCTTGACGTACGGCCCAAACGCCGGGCCTCTGCTCGGAGAGATGCCCGGGTAAGAGTAAGCAGACCGGCATCCAGTCTACCCAACAAGAGTCCACAGACAAGTTTCCGATTTGGACGCGCTCGTGCGCACGCGCGGGCACGTACATGGGCGGGGCCTCGACCTCAGGTCCCGCCCAGGCGTCCTGAGCTTCCTCTTCCGACCAGAGGCGTGGCTGCGGCGCCCGCGGGAAACCGGGTGGATGTTTCGCCGCTGGGTGCAACCGCGGGAATGGCAAGCTTGGGGACCCTTGTCCTGCGGCCCTGGATTCGAGAGCTTGTCCTGGGGTCAGAGGCACTCTCAAGTCCGCGGCCAGGGCAGCTGCTCAAGGTGAGCCCCCCACCCCTCTCAGGGCCCGGAGACCAGGGCGGAGCCCTAGGGCGGTGAGATTGACGCCGGTTGCGGCCGTTAGGTTCTGCAGGACGCCGAGGGCCCGGGCCCGTCCCGCGCCCCTGACAGGCCTGACGTCGGGGCTGCGCTGCTTGTGTCCGACGGGACCCACAGTGTCCGATGCCTGATGACGCGGGAAGCCCTAAACACCTCGGACTGGTGAGAGAGGCTCCCTGGGGCCCGGGAAGCTCAGAGTCCAACGGGAGAGCGCGAGGCCTGAGCCCAAGGTGGGCGGGCCCTGGGCTGGTGGGGCTGTGTTCAGGCGGGCTAGGCAGTGAGGGTCGCGCTCGCCGCAGGGAGGAGAAGGAGTTCGGCTTCCGAGGGGCAGAAGGCCGGCTGCTGCTCCTGCAGGACTGCGGGGTCCGAGTCCAAGTCGCCGAAGGGGGCGCGGTGAGTGGTAAGGCTGGCTTGGGCGGGTTACTGGGCCTGACTCTTCGTGACAACTTCCTGAGACCCGTCCCTGAACTCACCCTTCAGCCTGCGGAGTTCTACCTCCAGGTGGACCGCTTCAGCCTGCTTCCCACGGAGCAGCCCCGGGAATGGGTGACTGGTTGGTAAGTGATGACTCCACCCTCCAACTGTTCTCCTCACCCATGCCTGGCTGGCGTTGGCATAGGCCTTTTGGGTGGGAGAGCTTGGGCCCTTAGTAACACTGACTGCTACCACCCTCCACTTTTTACCAGCAACCAGGACCCGGATGTGCAGAAAAAGCTCTATGACTGCCTGGCGTAAGTCTGGGGTTGGGCTCTGGGGCCAAGTCAGGCTTGGTTGGGGAATGGCAAATCTGTGTAGACAGACCTCAGGATTGTTCCTCAGGCCTGTCCCCTCTGTTTCTGTAGGGAGCACCTTTCAGAATCCACCTCCCCCAGTGCAGGTACTTGTAGGGGTTGTCCAATGTCCCTAACTCCCTGTAAAGTGACCTCTCCAACCATCACCTCTTGTTTCCTTAATAAGCCCTCCTCCCCACCCATGCTACCTTCCTCCTCTTTAAGCTTTGGCCCATCCCCTGGTCCCCTGTCCCCAGGCCTTTCACTGTCCCAACTTCTGGATGAGGTGCAGGAGGACCAGGAGCATCGGGGGGCGCTAGTGCGCCTGGCTGAGAGCTGCCTGATGCTGGCAGGCCCTTGCACAGCAACCCCCCTCACCCGCTGGGCCACCTCACGTCACAGGGCCACGGTTAGTCTGGGGTTTCCCTTGGGAAATATCAGGGTGAGTAGTTGGGCTAGGGCCAGGCTGAGAGTTCATGTCCCACAGGGAGAAGCTGTGTACACTGTCCCCAGCCTATGGCTGCACATTTCTGAGAATGACCAGCGAATCCTGAGCTCTCTGGGCCCAGATCAGAGGGCACAGGGTAAGGACGACTGGAGGGGTCAAGAGGGGAGTACCTGGGGGCCCAGCACCTGCAGTGCTGATAAGCCTCTCCTGACTTCTAGGCCCTGAGCTGCCCCCACCAGACCCAGCTCTGCAGGACCTATCGCTGACCCTGATCTCTTCTCCTCCTTCCTCACCCAGTTCCTCAGGTGAGATGGTGCTCAGGCCACAAGCACTTGCTGCTGTCTATCAGTTAAGTGCCCAGGCTGTGCAGGATGCTGTGAAAAGATGCACAGCTGGGTGGGGGATAAACAGTCTCTACAGGCCTGCCTAAGCTCACAGGCCACTCAGCTGGTCTGAGCTAAGAGAGCTGTGCCCACAGTAAGTCTCCTCCTCCCCAGGAATCCCTGCCTTACCCAGCCACATGCCATCAGAGGAAAGTGGTGCCAGCATCAGCCTTCTGCCTGCCCTGTCCTTGGCTGCTGCAGACCCAGTACAGCAGGGCAGCTCCCAGCCCCTACCAGCCATCTGCTCAGTCCCTGGCCCCCTGACCCCCAGTTCCCCACACCCCAGCCATGTACCCAACTCCCCCCTCATGAGCTATACCCCAAGTCTGTCACCCCTTGGCCATGTCCCCAGTCCACACCAGGCCCACGTGACCAGGACCCAGAAACCCAGCCTGGAGTTCAAGGAGCTAGGGTTGCCCTCTAAGAACTGGCAGCACTCTCCAAGGACGAGAACCGCCAAGGGAGCCCTGGAGTCCAGCCCTGTCTGGGTGAGCATAGCCCCTCTACAATTGGAGAGTAGAATGCGGTGGGCCTTGGGTAGAGCTGGGAAGGGAGCTGAGGTAGCCTTGGATGGAGTTAGGGGTCTTTGTTGGCCCCTGTCCAGACACCATACCCCCTTCAGGATCCCCCAAAGAGGCATTGTGATGGTTCTGCCTTCCAATATGAGTACGAGCCACCCTGCAGCTCCCTCTGTGCCCAGGTCCAAGCTGCCAGGTGAGTGCCTGGGGCTGCCCTCACTCTCTTGGTCACCAGTCCCAGTCTCCATTCACCTACAGCCATGGTTCTCTTCCCAGGCTCCCTCCCCAGCTCATAGCCTGGGCCTTGAACTTTCTGATGGAGCCACAGCCGGAGTCTGAGCTAACCCAGTTGTGAGGGGTCCTGCGAGCATGTGGGAGGATGTGTGCACACAGGTCCACGCCTGGGGATGGACAAACAGTGCTCCACGCTCTGCTTCCTTTGAGTTTTTTAATAAAATAATCTCATGCGGCAGGAAAGGAGAGGGTCAGTGTTTGGGGCCGCCGCCTCTTTGGTCTGTGGTTGGGGAGGGTGGTCTTTGCTCAGGGCAAGAGGGCTCTGTAGGCTGTAGGGGCAGAGGCTCAGCTCCAAGGCCAGATCCTGCAAAGAGAGAGGGGGAAGAGAGGGAGGGTCAGGACTGGACTGAGCAGTCCTGCCACCCTCCCAGTTGACCCCAGCCCCACCTTACCTAGGCTTGGAGACGGGGGTGCCTCAAGCTTTGGCCTGCGCTTGAGGACAGGGGAGCGCTGCAGCCGCAGGGGCCGTTCTGAGAGACACAGAAAGACAGGGTGGGTTGCTAAGGGCTTCTTGCCTATCCCCAACCCCCTCCCCCACCTCACACTATTGCCTTCAGAGCCTCCCTCTTCCCCTGTATCCTCCCACCCCTGGCAGGGGTTGTCTTTTGGAGGTGGAGCCAGGGCCAGTAGAAAGGATTTGTCAGACCCTTGCTCCTGGCCTTCTGGCTCCTGGTTTCTCGACTCGTCACATCACTGGTGACCCCCTCCAAGGACCAGAGCCACAAAGGAAGCCCTGGAGCCCACCCTTCCCCATCTCCTCCACTCAAGCACACAATGGAGGAGTCTCCCCTCACCAACAGGGGCCTGGAGCTGGTCCTCATGCACAGACACTGCTCGCCGCCCTGCCGAGAGAGGCCTCGGCCTCAGCTGGCCATCTGGGGGAGGCCAGGGTATCAGGGTATGATCCCAACAGCTGCCCCTACTCCAGCCCTTGCCTCCCACCTTCAGGGTCCCCAGAGGAGCTGAGTCCCCCAACAGGGACTCCTCCAGTCCCCAACCCAGTATTGGAGTGGAGGCTAGGGCGCCTGCTTACCTTCGTTCCTGGGACCCAAGCAAGGATCCTCTGGGAGGCCCAGGCTGTCCGGGGAGGGACTGGCTCTTCGGGGGCTTGGGCTGGGACAAGGGGAGGGGGGCCCTGGACCATCCTGTTGGCCCCAACCACGGCCTCTGAGCTCTGCATTCAGCTGCTGCCCCAGTGTCTTCCAAGTGGCGGACTCAGGGCCCTGGCCCCCTAGACCAGGTCTGCACGAGGGGTCTACAAGGAGAAGGGTGTCAGCCAAGACTGGGCCAGGCATAGGAGGTAAGCCTGTCCAATGGTCCGACCCCCTCCTGCCTTTCCCCCAACACACACAGTGGCCTTCACTCACCAGCAGACACGGAGTGGGTGCGGGACTTGATTGAGATGGGAGGGGTCTCCGTGGAACTGTCCATAATGTCACCTGCAAGGTGGGGCTGGGGACTCAGACCTTGGGGGGTGAGGGGAAGAAAAACCTGGCCTCTCCCCCTCCCTCCCAGGAGAGAAAGTGCCTTGGGGACTATCTCTAAGGACATCCCCCTCCCCAAAAATGTACTGCCCTATCCCAGTGTCTCACTTACCATCTGAGCCGGCCTTCTTGATCTCTCCATCTTTGCTCTGTAGGAAACAGGGAAGTCAAGCTCGGTCCTGCCCTGCTCCCACCCTAGCCTTATCCTTTTGTTCATTCTTATGCTTGTAACTGCCACTAAATGCCCCCGTGGGCTAGGCAAGAAGATGGCAAACCTAGTCCAGGCTCTCACAGTCTGGGATAGTGGACATTTAACACAGAAACATCCATATGCATGCACATCACACAGATAAGGTGATTTCTTAATTCTATGATAAATTTTTCTTATTTTCCTGAAAAATTATTAAATGGATAGGACAAAGGGCTGTGGTTCTTACTAGGGACTGTGATCAGAGAGTGGCATTAGCAGGGTGGCCACGGAACAGAGTCAGGGAAGGTCCACAGGGAAATGCAGGGATGGATGAGGAAAAACCCGGTGTAACCCACAGGTGGTGATGAGAGGCTGCAGGTGGGGCAGGGAGGAGCTCCAGACAGGAACAGTGTGTAGAGGCTCTGAGATGCCACCAGGGGTGGACAGCAGTGAGCTGAATGCAGTGACGGGCTGAGACCCCCACAGGGCCTTGAGGCAGGGTTAGGAGTCAGGGCAGTGTCTTGAGAGGAAGTCCCTGGAGGGCTTGCTGTTTCAAATGCAGATGACAAGGTCAGATTTCTGTTAGATCTGCATTGAAAGGACCATTCCAGTTCTGAAGAGGAGATGTCAGTGGCCTGGGCCAGAGCAGAAGCCAAGAAGGAAGAAAGGTTGAATCTCATGACTAGTTTCCGGGGGAAGGGGTAGAACGGACAGACTTGTCTGTGTGTCACAAGTCTCCTGGTCACATATGTCACCCACAGACTGCCACAAACCACGTCACCTGCCCCCTCACTTCGCACTTGTGTCCCTCCCAACTCACTTGCTTCCTCTTGCCTTCAGCACTCCCGCTGCCTCTGCTCACACCGATCCTCTGCAGCATCACCTGTACCCGCTGTTCAAATGATGGGGCCAGCTCTGTGTCTCCCCGCTCCAGGGGCCGCCGCTGGGGACAGAGATGCCTGAGTGGGGAGAGAGCCCACTGCCCTCAGGTCCAGCAGAGCCCTCACTCCCTGTCATCAGATCTCACCTTGTCAGATCTGGCACCCAGTGTAGCTTCCTCCTCCTCAGCAGGTAGCAGTATCATTGAGTAGGCCTTGCTTTCCCGAGTGTAGCGAGGCCGGCTCCTGCGGGCAGGGTCAGGACTGCCGGTGGTTCCCTCAGCCCCACCAGGCTCCTCACCACGGCTAGGACGGGCTGGTGGCCGCAGCAGGTCCCCAAGTGTGGTTTTTCGAGTGCGGGGAGCTGCCCCAGGGCTGGTCTCTAGATCAGGCCGTGGCCCCCGAGTTGAACGAGGCTTCTTGAAGGCAAAGAGGGTACCCAGCTTCTTTCGCAGTGTACGGGGGACAGGGGTGGTACCCCCCTCTGTGGCCGGGTCCTCCTCGGGGGCCCAGCTGTGGGAATAGCCAGCAGTGAGTGGGAAGGCCCATGAAACATCCCACCCTCTCCCACCCCTGCAACTGCCCGTCACTCACAGGCGATCCTGTTGGATCAGCCTTTTGGAGAAGAATTCCTCCACGCCCTCGTCCACGCGGGCACTGAGCCCATTCCCTTCCTGCGGCAGGGCTGGGGGCACCTGGGGGACACCACAGGGTCAGGGCTGAGTGTAACCATGACTTCTCCCCACCTCCCTTGTCCAGCAGCCTGGTCTGGGCAATTCCAGGACCTGGGAGCTGAGGTGACCCTAGGGGGCTGCTGACACAAGCTCTCCCACTGTCCAGCTGGTGGGCAGAGATGCTGATGTCACATACCCCCTCACCTGAAGTTGGCCCTGGACACACACACACCCAGCCCACACTCATTCTTGTCCCACAGAGTATCCTACACATCCTGAACCACCTAGTCACCAACAGGCTAGAACCCATCCACCCCCTGGGTTACATGTTCCCACTTGCCACCCCCTCTGCTCCAAACAGTTCCCTGCAGTGCCCCCCCCCCCACCCGGCCTGCTGCCAGCTCAGCAGCATCAGCTGCTGCGTCAGACCCTCCCCGGGGGGGCCTCAAGCCAGCTCCACCCCCCCTTCCGCCCTGTGCCCACTGCCCGCTCCAGTACCCAGCCCACACATACATCTCCCCACACATACACCCGCCGGACATGCAGTAGACGCAAGATTGTCCCTGCAGCCCAGAGGGCTCAGCATCTTTCAGTAACCCTGGGGGAGGGAGGATAAGACGGACACACATCCACACATGCAGCAGGCCAACCCAAGACGGAGTCCTATACACAGGCCACCCTCAATGGAACCCACACACCCTTGACCCTACGTGGGCATAGCTTGGGGTGGGGGGGTGGGGGGTGGTCAGGAAGAAGCCAAGGCGGGGCTGCATGACCAGGTGGTCTTGGGACCCCACAACCCACCTCCTTGCTCGCCATCTCCCTTGAAGAGCGAACGGGCCACCCGCGACCCCCAATTGCACGAGCCCTGGAATGGGGGGAGGGCCCTCACCTGGGGGCCCCCCGGTGGTGGGCGGTGGTGGTGCTGGCGCCGCGGCCGCGGCCGGGCCCGGGTCGGGTGGCGCAGGGGCTGCCCGGCGGGTGGAAGGTCCATACGAGGCAGCGGGCCGGCCGGGGGCCCGGGGGCCGCGGGGCTTGGAGAGCCACGCGCGGACGGCCCCGCCTGCGGCTCCGCATCTTCTCCCGGAGCCGCCAGCTCGGGCTTCGGCTCTGGTTCCTCAGCAGCACCTGAGGGAAGAGCACCAGAAGAGCACCAAGCGCCGAGCCCAGGGAGGTGGCGGCAAGGAGGCGCTAGGGCAGCGGGGGACCCGCCCAGGGCGCGGGGAGGGGCCCGGCTACGCCGCCCGCCCCTCCGCCCGCCCCACCCCCGCTGCCGCTGTCCGTGGTGCTGAGCGCGGCCCCGCACAGCCGCCAAGCATGCGCGTCCTGGGGGTAGGGAAAGGGGCGGGGGGAGGCGAGCGGAGACAATGTCCCGCTCCGCGCTGATTGACTACAGCTGATCCCAACCTTGCAGGTTGCACGGGGGGGTCCTGATTTGGCCCAGTCAAGGGTCAGGGAGTTCCCAGTACAGAGCTGAATGAATGTGTCCAGGTCCGCAAGTCTAATGGAGCCCCTGCCCAACCTGGGTAACTCCCTTTCCCCCAGACTGACTTACTGTGAGTGGAAGGGACCAGGTGAAGACAATGGCTGGGCTCAGGCCATTTCTGTAGAGGGCTGTCATCCTGGTGGGGAGGGCACAAACTCAGCCTGGGATGGGGGAGCTTCCTCTCTACCTTTCACACTCCAGAACAAGATGGGAAGATCTCGAGTTCTAGGTCCATACTTCTGGGACCACCTACCTTCTGCTCCTCTTTATCCTCCTCCTTTTCCTTCTCCTCCTCAGGGAAGAAAAGATCTTCCAATTCCCCAGGCCCAAGGGGACTGGGCTCACCTCCATCCAGTGCTGGTATGGCAGGGGGCATTGCCACTGTTGCCTGCTGAGCCAGACTCTCCACCTGCAATACCAGGCACCCCAAAGATGGCCAGGTAGGGCCTCAGCCATAGTCCCACTGGTGCT